GTGGGGGTATAGGAGGCGTCGCGTCGGGAATCGGCCCGAAATGTGCAACTAAATCCCGGCTCTGGTGTAACTCAACTAGACATCATAAATTAATTGATAAAAAATTGGACTATTTAGGATTACTTAGGTCAAATAAGAGACCTATTTTGGTGCAGAAATATTAAATGAGATACATTCTCTGGTAAAAAACAACTTCGTTTCGCCGAGACAATATTTCCTGCAGTGGAAAACACCCTTTCCGCTGTAGCAGATGAGGCGGGAATGCACAAAAGCTGGCGGGCTGTTTTAGCCACTGCTGGGAAGCATATTTCATGTGCCTTCCACCAAGCGCACAGATCAAGATTGTGGTCAATCTGAGTTTCCGCGACGTATTTGGCAAAATCATCATCCTCATGATTTTTGTCCATTCCGAGGAGGAAATCCATGACCGTCAAGCCTTGATGCTGCTCGTTGCCACTAGGTGTGGCTAAATGTCCATGGTTTAAATTAGTGCGCCTTTGCACTTCTGTGTGTATAGATGAGCGTACACTTTCAGATGGTTCCGCTGTTAACTTCTTATGTCGAGGATCGAGTAAAGTGGCCATTTGCATCGCTGTCACTTCATTGTTAACGTCAATATTTTCCATCTTGAATCGATCAGTGAGGTCTAAGGCCGCTTGAACTTTAAAAGTTCTTTGTAAAGAACTATCATCGTCCTTTACCAGTAAATGACGATTGATTAAATTGTAGATAATGGGACGCACTATACTCAATGTGATGGACTTTTCGGCGCATAAGATTGTGGTTGCTTGTTGGAATGGTTTTAGCAATACTGTAAGCTGCATAATTTTTACCCACTCTGCTTCGCATAGCTCTAACTTAGCAGCAATCGCCAACTTGAATACGGACGGGTCACTTAAAGCTGCCATAATGCCGGAGCGCAAAGTTTGGAGTCTATCTAACATAAAGAATGTGGAATCCCAGCGTGTCGGACATCTCTGCATCAGTCGCAATGTTGGCAATCCGAGACTTTTCAGCTTATCCTCTAGAGCGGTTGTTCTGCTATAAGAGTGCCGGAATGCAATAACAATCTCTGCTCCTTTCTTTATCACAGACACACATTCTGATGCTTCTAAGGCTGTATTGACAGACAATTGCATGGTGTGTGCTGCACATCGTACACTGAGCATACCATCCGTATCGCCTAGTTCTTTAGCTGCCTTAACAATATTACTAGCATTGTCATGTACAAGTCCGGTAACTTTGTTAGTTAAATTCCATTCTTGCACAACCTCGCGAATTGTTTTCTGCAAATGTTCAGCAGTGTGGCTTTCAGTCATTTCTCTCGTCATCAAATTGACAGTGTGTGGGATCCAGTTGTCATCAAGGTAGTGTACTGATAATGTTATATAACTGTCATTTGCCCTAGACGTCCACGCATCTGTTGTAATGGCTACAGCGTCGACTTTATCTAATGTGGTGCGCACCTGTTCCGCTGCCTCGTTGTACAGGGTGTATCAAGACGATACAGAGCGGTACGGCGGGTTGCCCATTCGAGCAGGCGCGCATGGTCGTT